TCCACCTTTCGGACATGACCCGTGACGTCGCGTTTTTCTTCAAGTTTAAATAGCACAGCTGAAAGGTAAGCGAACAATATTTGAAAAGCAGAATTTATAACTTTTTACCATGCTTATCTATCATTTCATGAAATATCTTAATATGCTAGTAAAGTAATAAAATGGAGCAGGAGTGGCGAGAATGTAATACTTGGAAACCCCCAGATACTCGGGTGTGTGGCTGGGGGAAATTCCGGCCTTCTTGTGTCCTTTAACGACAATCCGCCGCCTTTATCAATAATAATATTATAATCTCAATAATAGTAATATAATATCGGTCGTCATTACCGTTATTATCACTTCTGTAATATTATTGATGATGTCTTCTATTATTCGTTGAAAATATTTTTCCTTTTCTGGTTGGCTAAATTCTCAATAGTCATGCTTCAGCAAACTTAACCGGATTTAGGTATAGGTATAGGTATAGGTAAATCATTAATATTCACATACCTTCCTGCATACTAACTCGGTATAGGTTTACTAATGAGCGTCTCTCTTATTCAATAGGAACAACAGGCTTGCTTAGGCTTGCCCGGTCTCTTTTAACCCTGATTGGCTCATGTACAATCCATTATGAGTTCAAAATAAAAGCCGGTAGATTTCGAAAGGATTATGGTTCTTGATCGCTTTGCTGGGAAACAGTTTGTTCGAGTTCGCTTGTTTGAGAAAACTTTTATTCACTTTCATCACCATGGCTTTTATTACAAACGTTGATGAGCTTCAAGCTCTTTTGGATGCTTGTTCCTCGACCCAAGAATGGGTATGACGCCCTTAATAATTGCAAAAAGTGTACATGTAAAATACTCAGTGATTTATAGAAGGGGTCTATTAAAATAGTCAAAAGCAAGCAAGCTATATCTTTTTTACTATTTTAATAGAATCTTTCTAAATCACAGAGTATTTTACACTTTTGCAATTATTAAAAGGTCATACAGATGTTTTTGTTGGTTTCCGTCCGCCATGTTGGTGTCCATCCAGATTCGGATATCTCGTATACGGAACATTATTATAGCCTGAATCTTGGCGAGGGTCTTTGTATATGTACCTTCTTTCATTTCACAGATTCTGGACTTTATCTATTGAACGGTTTTGATTTTTATTTTGATCTGTATTGAATGGCGTGACACTGAAAACCAGCAATAAACGTTTTCTCAAACAAGCGAACTCGAACAAAATGTGTCCTAGCAAAGCGATTGCAAGAACGATAGCCCTTTCGATATCTACCCGTTTTTTTTTTTAACACATAATAGAGTGTACATGAGCCAATCAGGGTTTAAAGAGACAGGGCAAGCGTAGGCCTATTGTTAAGCCTATTGTTGCTATTGAAAAAGGGAGACGCTCATTAGTAAACCTATATCGAATTAGTATGCACGAAGGTATGTGAATACTAATGATTTACCTATACCAATACCTATACCTATACCTTAACCCGGTTGAGTTTACTGAAGCATGTCTACTATTCTCCCAGCTTATTTTTCAAAATCAGCTCTTTTTGTTGGCCAAATTTAGTAGATGTTTGCCGGCATTAATCCATTCAGTAACTTTACTAACATTTATATAGAACGAAAGGAAGAAGCACGTCGCGGTGGCATAGCCTTTTTTGGCAGCACAGAGCTAGCGAGAAAATGGCGGAAGATTTTAAGCACTGACAGCAAATTCAGAAGACATACCACTCAACAGGTAGATTGCTAATGAAGATTATCAGTTGAATAAATATCCCTTCATATTCTAAACTGGCAAATATTTTAAAGACGGGAACTTTACCTACAAGACTAAGCATATGTTTAGTTTTCAGGATGGAAATATTTTGATTGAACAATCCATGAACCAGAAAAACAATTTAAATCCAGGATAAAATTGAACACAACGTATACATCCTAATTATGCCTATATCTTCGATCCTGGTACATCTAACTACAAAGAAAGGCTTTTCTTGAACTCATGGCACTCCACCGACTATGAACAGCGACGCCGTTAATAGAAAAACGTTTTCTCGCACTCTTTCTTGCCTTAAGGTCACAACCAGGGACCTCAGCACCAACGCAGAGCTTAATTATAAATAGGAACACCAACTTGTACATGCAGAACTGAGCCACAAAAGATTTCGGGAGGAAAATCAGATCGGCTAAAAACACTTATAACTACATATAGTTTATATTCAGTATAAACAGAAACTCATAAGGAGTTGAAACGTGTAACTCTCATATGTTTGCTTCGTCCGATGCTCGTGATTATTCATTTTCGAAAGTACCATATTTGGAACGATGAGAAGAGATAACTGACCAATCAAACTTGGTAAACAACGTGATGTAACTTTACTTCACGTTCCCGCGCCCGCTTAAAAAAAATGGCCGACTAACGGGGGAAAAACTCCCGAAAGCCGTGAAAGCTTTCAAAGGTTGAAACCAGGAATCTTACCGAAATACTGAGCAGGATATTATTGCCTTACCACCCGGGCCAAACGTAACATTGTGAAACCCACTGAAGTCCTCGCAACTTCTTGAAGTTGTCATGTCTCGTAGACCCTGCACAGTAAACTAAAAACTGCAAATAGGTTCTTAAAATTCTTATATTACTAGTCTAGAATAAACAGTAAAAAATATTTTCGAATAAAATTCATTAGCTGCGTATGAGTGTCCAAAACCTGAACCTGACATCTTCGCAAAAAGTGATGCGTGTAATGAATGTGAGAAGCTTTTAAGCTTAAATTGAGCTTGGATGTTGTAGTAACGATCGTGTGTTGAGCTAATTTTATGAATAAAAAAAGTCAACACAATAAGACAGAGAGGCCGTTTCTTGAAAATTTTTATTCAAAATCCAAAAGGTTAATCCTTTAAAGCAGTTCGGAAAACACTATCTGGATCGTGGATCCGTTCACGCAAATGAAGTCGGCTGAGCACATGGCAAAATTCAACACAAAATCCATCTCAAATCGGGGTACATTTTGTAATTTTTCTTTAGCACCGAAGAGAAAAATTTATAAAACGTCTATGAAACATTTAAAAATACATAAATTCCCTTTCAAAAAAGTAATTGTCTTGGCCATAGAGTGCAAAATGTACCTGAAAATTCAGCAAAAACTTAGCTGCCTTGGTTGCATTTAACAGACCGTGATGCGCTGCGCCGTGAAGAAAACAAGGTTGAATTCCTCGAAGGACGATTTCTTGATGAAAAGCTTCCCTTCCTCCACAAAAAAAAGCTGAGCATTCTTTTGAACTTTCTCTTTCCATTTTTGTCTTTTGACCGTGTATTTTTAACCTTGAAATGCAGAACTTTTGCCTTAACACATCTGCATGGTGATCGAGCGGCAGCCATTTTTTTGAAAATGGACATCCGTCACTAAGGTTTCCAAATATGGTAAAAGTGAATATTCACGAGCATTGAACGCGAGTTACACGTTTCAACCCCTTATGAGTTTCTGGTATAAACGAAGAAAAATTATACTAAAAATGCTTCGACATCTTTACCTGAAGACAAAACCACAGCTACCACGAGAAGTAGGCAAATCAGAGAGGCACAACAAATCTTCATCTTAATAGGCTGATTTTATTTTCTGCAATAAAAATGTTATCAAGAAGATTCAATCAGTCAGCTAAAATATCAAAGATTAAATAAATCCTCTAACGGCTCAGTCCCCCCGCGGCAGAGTGAATCCGTCGTTATTATAGGTGAAGTGATCCTTGTCTCATATACTAGTTTCAGTTCTAAAAGAGACGGCTGGTAAATTGGTTTTGAGAAAAAACTTCCAGCCATCATACAAGCAGTACACGAAAAACGTGAATTTGGCTTATGATAAATTAATTAATTTTTACGAAACAGGAAAATAAGACGATTCCTCTTTCCTCACAAGAAGATCATTCAATTATGTCACGGCATATTTTTGTTGCAATCTTCGGGTGGCAGGTATTTTACTGATATATGATATATTTGCCAACTATATCTCAGAGATATGGTTGGAGCAGAAAATTTATAGTTCTTCTGGTCCTTCTGATTTTCTTGAAATTGTTTTGGAATATTTCCAATAGAAGTTATTTTTTTGCTTTAAATTTCCCAATTCTTGCTAATTCTGAATTCCAAGCCAATCCACCATCGTGCTATTCTTTAAAAAGTGCCTTATGTTTTAGGAAATTGCTGAAAAATCAGTTTCGTTCATGTATAATTTATTCCAAATTAGGGACAATGTGTCCGTCCCTTTTTCATTGCTTCTTTTCGTTGTGGAATAATAAGCATTTTCTAATAATTTCCCCCGTTTTCCACCCTTTTCCTCTTCCGCCTTCCCTACACTTCCTTCCCCCTTTGTTCCAGGGCGTCCACTCGTCTCTCCACCCCTACTGAATCACTTTTGGAATATCTTCAATCAGCAGTAAGCTGTATACAACTACCGGCGAGAGTATTAACTCACCTTACATTACATTGAAATTTCTCCAAGATGTTATCCGGGCTAATGTCATTGACTTGGGGTTTATTTTTTTCGGTTTTACAGGCTTTAGGTTTTATCAAGATCTCAAATCTTATCCTAAATTGACAAGAATTCTTCCCGCGCAAACAGTGCCTCGTTAAAGACATGCAGGTTAAGAGAAAATTACAACACTTTGATTGTCTCTTGAAGAGTCGTATTTACAACTGTTTCTGGTCTCCTTTGGATTTTTTCTACTCAGGGATCGTCCAAAATTTTTGTTATTGTTAAAAATTAATCGTAGGGACAACAATCAAACATCCCATTGAAAATTGCATCGCTCGAGGCAGGAAAATTCATAAAATTATATCCAGTAGTTTTAGGACACACTGCGTATTAGGAGAAACCGATCATTCAAAAAACTATACTAAGACCAAAACAGTCATCGAAATAAGCAGCCGGCAGACTCGCACTATGCGTTAGTTCAAAAGCAGTTTGAAAATTACAAACAGAATGAACTGTTCATAACCGAGAAATAAGCTATCGAATCGATTTTCCCGCCAACTTACCAAGATTGATCCTCTTCAATAACTGTGTTCACTAGCTTAAAGCACTTAGTTGCTTGACAAAATCCAACAAAAACTAGAATGATTCGCAGTTGTTGCACATCTATAACAAACTGAATACAAAATGAAACAATAGCAATTAGATATGACATATTAGGCTAGATGACATAATACTTTAGTCGCTCGCCTCAAGTTTTCAGATTCTCACCAGAAAAGTTAAAAGCAGGTCGAATTTCGCAGTGATCAAATTAAAGTAAGTTATTGCACAATTGTGTAGCTGATAGGCCATATTGAACTTAAGCGATGACCCAACTGACATTTGAGCTGTCGCATCGTATTTCTTCCGTGATCAGTCCAGTTGATATTAGAAATCTGATTTGAAATTTAATTCTGCAATTTAGTACTCGGAGAACGTGCATGGTGCTATCATAGGATAAAAATATTTTTTTGCCTAGCATTGCGTTCTTTACGATATGCTGCAATTTAAATGCCAGGAAAAAAGGGTTAAGAGAAAAAATTATTAGGTAAATGAAAATATGTGAGAAAGGTCATGATATGTGAGCTCTGATGATGCGGCGGCAGTGCATTGCATTATTAGAATAATTTGAAAAGCTCATAGCGATAATAATGACAGAAGCTTTTTACTGGTTATGGAATACTTTGAAATGATATACCGTGAAATATCTCACGAGTGACTTGATCAGTTTCTCCAGGAGCCCATACTGCTAGGAGCGACCAACTTCCATGCGCTCGTGTCACGGCGTTTCTAGTACCAGTTTATTTTTAGAACTGTTTTGGCGCGAATTTTTGAATATCTTTTAAATTCCACATACCAGTCAGCGAAACCTACAGACCTGAAAATGATATTTTTAGCCTTTTAATAACGTTTATTTTTCTTTTTTGATATCTTATACGTCGAATGCGCTCATAGACATGGTGGAGAATCTGTTTTCGCGGAAAAAAACTGCCCTAAAATGTATCTTAAAATAAACTGGTCCGTAAAAACGCCGTGACATAGGCCGCTAATATGGAAGTTAAGTTGCCCGTTCAGGGTTATGGGCTCCTGGTTTCTCAGTATACACACGGGTCTTTAGGAGAGTTTGTATGGCTTTAGGCGAGTGTGTAGTATTTTAAAGAAAATTCAAGTTCCGAGTGGGATATCCAAGGCATACCACGAGAAAGCATTACACAACTAATTGATCCCATGCTACCACATAAATGACGTATTCGATCATATCTTGTACTTCAAATGGGCTGAAAGACGGAGCAGAGTTTCCATTTTCGAGGTAAAAACTGACCTAAAATGTATCTAAAAATAACCCGTCCGTGAAAACACCGTGACATAGCCCTATTATGGGAGTTGGGTGACGCTGGTTATGGGCTCCTAATGACGATGTAAAAACAGGAAAACTCGACATTACATGTAAACTCAAGTAACCCTTGCACTAAGTCTGGTTAAAAGCCTGGTAAGCCTGGTAAACCATGGTTGAACCAGTCTTACCCCTCTTTGGAAAACGAAAATTAAAATTGAAAGCCTGGTTTAAGCCTGGTTTAAGCCTGGTTTAAGCCTGGTTTTACCTGGCTTTCAAGGTAAGCCGGGTTGAAGTTTACCATGAAAGTCTAATTAGAAATGCTTTCCTTTCTGGTAAGCCTGGTTGAAATTTTCTGCCTCAAAAGCTTGGTAAATGGACACACGCGGGAACGGTCATGTGACTACTCAATTTTCTTTCATTGAAAGGTTTCCATTTTTCTATAGTAATGGAGGCTCAGCTGCACGCGATAGCTTCGCTATTAAATTAAATCAGACGTAATTAAATAGCTCAAAATGATTTGAATTCAGATGGTTGCGCTGGAAAGAAATTCAAATCCCTATTTATTAGAACATAATAATGCTTTGATTGTAACTTATTGTAATATGTTTCAACGCATTCAGTCTATGATCTCAAAATTAGCGGAGAAAATTCAGCTGCCATAAAAAGTCCTAAAATGCCCTGGACCTGTCTTTTAAAGCTAAGGCTATCGTGTAGGTCAGTTATTTAATCTGATTATAGATCGAAGTAGAGCGCAATCTTTTTTCACACAGACATACAAAACAGGCCAATGCAATGCTGAGTTCATTTTATTTTACTCTTGCACTAATTAGGTGTACATTGTTTTTTTTTTAATTACTCAACATGATAGAAGGTGTATACTAAACATTAGGCCGTCTTGCAACAAAATGGATTATTCTTCCGTCCTACTCATGACCCTTGTTGTATCATATATCAGCTCCTGATAAATCCTGATAGATAAATAAAAAACAATAATGTGTAATTATTATGGGGATATGGGTGCAAAAGGCCAATCTTAAAGTAATACAACTTGACTTAAGAACGTTACAGTTAAAACCTGGCTATCTTCCAAATTACAAAAAATAATTTACGATAATTTGTTCAGAATACACCAAAAGATGTGAATATTTTTTCTTACATATATTAACTTAGAAATATCCTCAAATGTCCTTAAAGAAGTAAACAAGGTGAAATTTAGCCGATCCGCCCTTTTGGGGTCGCAATTACGACTGATCCCCCCTTATATTCTCCCAAAAATCAAGTGATGCCCCTTAAAATTCTCCGCCCCCCTCCCCCACCCGATAAATAATATATAGTTGTTTTTCCAGATTGACGGTACAAGTGCTGGGGAAAAACCGCTGAAATCATTGGTTACGGTATTTTCACAAGTTCGCGGAAGGCGGAACCGTGATGTCTGGGGAGAAAAGGGAGGAAAGAGTCTCCTCAGCCTCTCCACTTCAAGTCACTAAATAGTCCCACCCCCATCCCCCCGCAACATATCTTGAAACATCACTTTAGACCTCACTGTTGTTTAATTCATTTGATTTGCTAACGTACCTTGTAAGATTTTGTCCGTCAATTTTATTAACACCTCTCTGTAATCTAAACAAATTGTTAGTTAATATTTTGAACAGAAGCTTATGCAGCAGGATATGCAGGTCATACAGTAATGCATTAGTCAATTCCAGCTACAATTTTGAAATATCACTAGTGATATTTATGCCAAGTATCACGTACAAATCATACTATTATTTGTTTATACTACTACCCGCAAGAGGTTTGTAGTTTTCACATGCAGGTATTTCAAATTAAGCTGAAATACTATTGCTCTAAGCCAATCAAATTGCAGAAATTTGTCATGTAGTAGTATTTTATTTTTAATACAGTGAATCCTGTATTAAGCGGACACCCTCAATGATTGCTGTAGTGTCCGCTGAATACAAGGTGTTCGCCTAATACAGGTTTCGATATATAACGTCACGTGAGGTGTCAAATGCCATTCAAATGAACAGTGGAAGCGTTTATAATACTCCCAGAGATTAGCACGATAGACGTTTGCATTAATTTCTTTATCAAAGTGAACCAATAGATCATCAGAGTACCATAAACATGGATTGCAACTCAAATTTGAAGAAATCAGATGAGTGAAACAAGCTCTATACAAACAAAACAAATAGAAAACAATCCTGTACTGTGAAACTAATCAAATGTAAAAATCGACAAATTTGTGGGAGACAATTCGAGGCAGTCTTTCGCATTTCCGGTGTCTGGCATGTTGGGTGGCGGAATTTAATTACAAGTGTCCGTTTAATACAGTTTGGCAACAATAGAAATGACCATTTCAGGTACTTTTTAGCTGTCCGCGTCCGCTTAATAAACTAAGGTTTCATTTAAGGTAAATAAGGGAAATAAATTTGGGGACTTCGGCTACTGTCTGCTTAATAGAGGGTGTCCGCTTAATACAGGTTTCACTGTATAGGATCCTCCTGAAAACCAATCTTAGTGATGGAGGCCTCCTCTCAAAAATTGTATTTTATTACTGTATTGCAGGAGCCCATCAAATGGAGCCTCCATCTCCATTAATTTCTTGAGTCAACCCTTTCCCGAGTAGATTTATAAATAGAACGGCTTGCTTCCCGCGAAAAGTGTCATATTTCCGTGAGTCTCGTATGTCACCGTGAAAAAAATTAAGTTGGATGAAGTCGAACTCAGAAGCTCGTCTTTCGACCGTTTTCCTTTTCTACTATACGTCCATTTTTACAGTTTTACAGCCGCTGGGATCTGGGATGAAATAAAAGTTAATGAATTACCCGACTGAGACTGAGCATGAAGCGATGGGACAACGGCAGCGAACTGAGGATCACGGAAAGGTTCTTTGCGAGTGTTTGTTTTTGTTTTTTTTTTTGCCGTCATACATCCCACATTTAAGCATGCACCTTGAAAAGAGCCGACGATTAAGCGTTCTGTGGACGATTTGAAACTCTTCGATGATCAGCGCCGAAAAAGTGCCAGGATCATTTAATTTTTGTTATCGCCGTGGAGTGGATTTCGCCAGTTAAGCACCGCGTGCAAAAGCGATGACCTAAGTAGCAACCAAGGAGGAATGCTTCAGAAAAATTGCAGTCTTCCTTTACAACTGACTTGTATCACCATGAGAGTTGCCTGATAAAACTGGCACTTGAAAAGTTAAACAGAAGACAACAGTTGCTCGACCGTGAAGCTAACTCAAAAGTAATTTGCTAAGGGTGGAATTTGTGACATCGCGCTCCAGTCCAAAGACCCTCTTATCTCAAGAAAAACAAAATGGATTGTATCTGCGCCCAAAGAAATATGACTGACTAACAGGAGAATTCTCAGCAATTAATGTAGAAGTTTACGCCAATTCTTTCCTTCGAATTCGCATCTGTAGATCACTTTTTTGCGAGAAAACAATGGCTGGGCTCGGCGTTACAAAACATAGCAGGGAATCATCACACTAACTGACGGACAAAACAACCACAGTATAGTATTTATTCAGACAAACGCATTTCGGAGAAAAACTTGAAAAACTAGAAATTTGATTAATATTGAGTCATTTAGCCGAAATAAGAACCTTAACGCTCAAAAAAATTGGCTAAAGAAAACGAATCCTGTCAGAACTACAGACTGCAGGTAGTAGTTAATCATACATTACGCATGTAACAGACCAGCTTCATGGCCTCTTATAAATTAACGTGAGACAAGCAACCAAAATTAAGATTAACATAGTCAGAGTTTAAAACTCTCCACAGTATAATCTACCCGCTAGAAAGAAAAGAAAGAAAATCTCTGAGGGATGAAAACGCTAAAGTCACGTTTCACTAGCTTATGATTTTGTTTGGCCTGTCAGCACCGGATTTCCAGCTGTTTCATGAAGTATAATAGCAGTGTCATTTAGTCGTTGTGATTGGCTCTTCCCACCGTCGGCGCGCGAAGTCTCCCCTGGGAACCGTTCTAATTATAAATCTACTCGGGAAAGGGTTGACTCCAAGGGCTTGTATGGGAGATGGAGGCTCCATTTGATGGGCTCCTGTGTATTGTTATTATCATTATTATTAGGATTGTAAACAATCATGGCCGCCGTTTCATTGTTTTGAAAAACCGCCGTGACGTCATGTGGAAACGCTCTATAATTCATTGGGGCTTTTTAGCTCACCTGTCCTCGCCACTTAAAAGTATTTTTGAAAATCCTTGATCCGCTGTAAACTGTATTCATGAGGCACTGGTATCTGACAGTATCTGTGTTTTGAAAGCGTGGCTTAGACTACAAAGCCATTGATATGAACATGAATTTTTTCTAATGCAATTAAGACGGAATCCACCAGCACATTGAGTAATTTTGATTTTCAGTGGACAAAAATCTTGTACGAGCATAATTTAAAGCATATTGCATTCTGTCTTACACTTTTCAAGGGCTAAAGATGTAATAAATCATCCGTAGTAACACCAAAAAAAAAATTTCTTGTGGGAACCCAATGCAAGAAAATGAATGTCAAATTTCACAAAGTTACATCTTACACGTGAAATTTGAAGAATTTTACCTATGTAATCACAATTCTAGTGAAATTTGACATTCATTTTCTCGGAATTCCATAAGAAATTTTCTTTGGTCTTACTACAGATGATTTATTACATCTTTAGCCCTTGAAAAATGTAAAAAAGAGTGCATTATCTTTTAAATTATTCTGGTACAAGGTTTTTTCCCACTGAAAATTAAAATTACTCAACTTCCTAGTGGATTCCGTCTTAAATCTCTTTTTTACAAGAAAAAGTCTTCAACTTAGTCTCGTTTTTAACTAGTTAATGGGCTATTCTTCTGTAGAGGCTCTTGACAACAGCTGCACCATCTTGTTATGCGCAATAAGAGATGCGCAGTACAAGACCAGTGAATCACCTTAACACATCTAACCGACACAAACAGTTTTATAATTTTAAAAGGACTGTATTTTTTCTAGCTTACGTCGCAAAAACTGTGGCGGATAAGGTCCAGTAATAATATCCATTTGGGGGGCATGGTTCGTGACGTCGCGTTTTTGTTCTTCACGATTAAATGGCACAGCTGAAATGAAAACAAACAATATTTGACATTAAGCATTATTTACAATTTTTTTTATCACGATTAACTATCATTTTATCAGATATCTGAATATGTAAGTAAAGTAATAGACCTTTTTACCGACACGGCGGCCATATTGAATTTATTAGATTTAAGGAGTATTATGGGATGCACAGGGGGCACTCGCTCAGTATTAACGCGCGCTTTTCGGGCAAAAAGAGAACTTCAATGTATATTTCTCGGGAAAAAGGCGATCGTTATTACATCCAAAGACGGCACAACGATGTTTTTTTCTCATTACAATCCTTTTTTTATTTTTAGAAGAAAAATTGGCCCGAAAAGCGCGCGTACATATGCATACTGATGCGAGTATATCGGATCGTGCTCATGCCCCCTGGGCATCCCATAATACTCCTTAAATCCAATTAATTCAATATGGCCTCCGTATCGGTAAAAAAGTCTGTTGTTATGGAACAGTGGTTGCGAGAATAATTACAATACATGATTAAAAAAACAACCTTGGATACCCTTAACTCTGGGGTGTTTTATTTAGATTTATTATATAGACACCAGTGTTTTACTGGAAAATATACCACTCGTAAATTTCATAAAAACTACATCCGGGACTTGAGTGGTTTATTTTCCATAATCTCACACGTGAGTTTATCGATAACATAATTTCCGTAATTTTCCTTCGAAATTTGTAGGCGTCTTGCGTCTTTTGAATTCTACTTAATTTACACATTTTTCAAAGTTTTGCTTATATTTTGTCATTGTAGAGCCCTATTCAGGTCAGTGTTATTTCTCAAGATTATTGTAACCAATGTCTTATATTGCTGTACTGTAAATCTGAACCGTCACAATTACTTTTTGGCGAATAAAAATCTATTATTTTATCGATGTCTTTTTGTCTATATAATAAAAAGAACATTACACGGCCGCTTGAAGATATGAATTTTACGTTCTCGTTGCAAAAACAATATTTTACTCACTCGCTGCGCTCGCTAGTAAAATATTGTTTTGCCACTCGAACATAAAATTCAGATCTTTCGCACCGTGTAATATCCTCTATTTAACATCATTTCAAGCATTACTTCATATGTAAGTAAATTAATTGTTATGGAACAGTAGAGGCGAGAATAAAACACATAAATGAAAAGAACATACTTGTAAACCCCAGCACTGGGGTGTGTGGGAGGGGGAAATTGGCTTAGCCTTTTTTTTGGTGGGGGGGTTAGCCGAGAAAATGGTGGAAGACTTTTTTAAAATCACTAACAGCAAGATCAGAACAAATACCACTCGACAGGGGTAGATTGCTACTGAAAAATATCTGTTAGAAAAAAAATACCTTCATATTCTAAAGTGCCAAATGTTTTGAAGACGGTTACTTTACCTCAGTAGAAGACTAACTAGGCATATGTAGTTTTCAGGATGGAAATGTTTTGATTAAATAAACCATGAAACATGCAATTATTGGATTCGGCCTATAACACTACTGGTCATTATACACGTTGGGGCTCAATTTTTTCTATCCTTGGTTTAAATTTTATTTCCCTTTGTTTTAAACTAAATATCATACATTACCATACCCGGCAAAACAAAGGGAAATAAAATTTAAACCGAGGATAAGATTGAACAAAACATATACATCCTAATGATGCCTATATCTTCGAGCATGGCCACATCTAACTACGTAGAGAGGCTTTTCTTAAAATCATGGCACTCATCTATGAAAAGTGATACCGTCAAAATCAGGGACGTCAGTTAACACAGAGACTAATTATCATTATATGCGACCACTATTTTTTCAGTGTTTTTACAGTGTGAAATGGTTCCTTCTCTTTTCGATTTACAGAGATTTTACATAATATTTATCAGGGCGTAGTAAACTATCTTCCTTGATTTACATGTTATTTACAGAATTTTTTGACAATATTTACGGTATATTTACATGATCTTGCCTTTAGAACCTTTACATTTTACAGGATTGTCTCCATTTTTTACATGTTCTGCTCGTAATATTTACACCTTTTTTACAGTAACTTTAATTTTAACATCCTGTAGAAGCTAGGCATTTTCCTT